CCCCCCCCCCCCCCCCCCCCCCCCCCCCCCGATCGTCCAGCACCAACCTTCTCCAGAGCCTCTCTGACGACCCTCTCCGTCTCCCTCTTGTTGTCGGCCTTCATCATCTCCTTGACGTCGTTGAAGACCTTGGTGTACTTCTCGTGGCACATGTTCTGGCAGGCGCCGTCGCTGCTGGTCTGGGTGCCGCGGTGCAGCGTGCGCGGCGACCCGCCGCCGGCCTTCTTGGTCTGCGTGGACACCGACAGCCTCTCGGGCTGCTGGGGCGCCGAGGACACCGGGATCTCCTGGCTGGAGCTCACCGCCTCCATCTCGGGCTCCGGGTCCTGGTGGAGAGACGAGCATTGGAGCACAGACTGAAAAGGTCAAATAGATGACAGAAAAGGACACGTTCTTTAGAAACACTGATGCACGAGGTTTCTTACATTCAAAGACCATTTTAAACCACAGAGTGCATTTTATCTCCAGCCAAAGTACGTCAGTAGGGACGAGACGACCGAGAATTATTTCTTGTAATATCACATATTTTCATTTCTTCCAGCCGTGCGTAACAATAATAATTCCTAACGATGCAGTTAATCAAATTACAGCAACTTGAGGCTGGACAGCTTCCATAGAACGGATGGATTAATTCAATATCAAATAATGAAGCTGTGACTGTGAGTTGATGAGGTCCAGATACTGTCGCTGGCAGCAGGTCTGACGGAGACGTCTGACGCGCCACATATTTCACTGTCACAACAATCCCTCTGCTGCTTTATGAATGTTTATTACACACACTTTGTTTTATACTTGGTTTTCATTGGTCGATTACATCATCCAACGATCTGTTTTATTTTTTATATGCTTTGGAAGCAGTTCTGATCTCCGTACACAGCGAAAGGACAAATAGTTACTTCTAAAAACATAAAAGGTATTTAATCTAACGCTGCAATAAGCTTCTAGATAAGACATACTCACATATTTATCCAACCACAAACAAACATCATCATCAGTGTGTGTGTGTGTGTGTGTGTTGTGTGTGTGTGGAGACGGTCTCACTTACACTGACTTCTTCTTTGGGCTCGACCATTTGAGATCGACGGCTTTTCTTGGCCTTGGGCTCCAGGCTGCCTTTGAGCTGGAAAAACAGGAAGAAAGAAAAATAAATAAATAAATAAATAAATATATATATATATATATATATATATATATTAAATACATTTTGTTAAAATGTTAAAAATATCCTGAAGGTTTTTCTTCCTTTTTTCCCAATTCAGACTAAAACTATTAAACGGAATTTAAAGCATTTTACTCAATAATTAGAAGGGAAACTTTTTTTAAACACCTTTTAACAGGTTGTTGCTGTTCATTTGTTGTCAGCGTGTCTTTACAGAAAAAACTTTATTATGATTTAAATAATAAAACACCTTCTGCTCAGCTCAACGGTAGAATATGTACCCAAACGCTTTCTATTTCTACTTTAGTATTAAATGTTTATCATGATCATTAATAAAACATCTATAAATGTATTTAAGAAAATACATAAAAAGAACTTGTGGATACTATTGAATATGTTGTACTACGTTCAGCCACCAGGTGGCACAGTTTGCTGTTTTCATCTCTAGAGTATTTGACGACCTGGTTTCTCATTTTTGTTCCTTTTAATCCATTTTCTCCAAAGCGCTGTATAACGTTGGTACAGATGAGTTTAAACTGTTGGCTTGGTGTTTGTGATTAAACAGTTTAAACGTTGCATGAATGAAACTGATTTTAATCACATCTCTGACTAAATGTGACGAACTGCAGCAAGACAGAAAACGAGGACGTGCAACAATTCACGTTTAGAGTTCAAACACACGCCGTCGGCCATGGGTCCACTCTGGCTAATCAACAGAAAGAGACGCTCGTGTTCTCGTCCTGTATCACTTACGTTCGTGAGACATAAAACAGAGCACGACAACATTAACAGGAGTAAACTGAACTGACCCCACTTACTTGTCGGACCTGCTCGTTGCTGGTGGAGGAGATGCTGGACTCGGCTTCGTCCGTCCTCTCCGGCCTGTCCGTCCTCCCGCTGCCCTCCTGCTGCTGCTGCTGCTGATTCTGGCTCTGGCTCTGGCTCTGACTCTGACTCTGACTCTGACTCTGACTCTGACTCTGCTGCAGAGGCGGTAGTGACGGCATGCTGCTTTCCTCCATCTTTGTTTTCCAGAAGCGGCCCTCTCGCAGGAAGCGCTGGTAGAGCTCCATCTCCTCGCACGCCTTCTTCCAGCCGCTGCTGCGCTTCACCTGCAGCTGCTGGATGCTCACCTTGATGTCCTGGATGTTGTCCGCGGGGATCCACGCTCTGCGGAGGACAGGGGGGAAAAACAGTGCTCGAGATTTACCAAGCAGCACTGCACCTTTTTCATTCGTTTCGGTCCATTTTAACCGCGTTTCCGTCTGCTTTGGATGAATGAATGAATGGTGTGAGAACAGAGACGATCATCTGGAGCGTTCTGGGAAAGAATTAATAAAGATGGCCTCTAGTAATCAGGAGATCATCCGTCTCAACCTGAGGTGTTGAAATTCAGCCAAAAGCAACAGAAAGGTGCGTTACTGCGATGTCTGCCTCTGTGCTAACCTCTGGTGCTGGTGGCCAAAGAAGCGCACATCGACCTGGCTTTCATCCCTCTGAAGGACTTTAGCCGGCCAGTAGCCAAATCCTTTCATCTTGGCCCACACCAGGTCATGGTTGGGTGTCTGCCGAGGCAAAACACACACACACGAAATTAGAGAGACCTCACAGACCAAAACACTTTACTTTGGTGGGTTGACTTTAGTGGCAAAACTTCCTGCTTAGTTCTTATGTCTGTATTATGCATTATAATATTAAAGTAAGTTATGCATCGTTTGATGACTCAGAGCAGCAGCATTATTCACATTTTAGTTCTTTCGTCTAAAAATTGTCAGAAAGAACTAAAAAGAAATTGTTTCAACGTTAGAATTGTATCGTAACTGCTGCCATTAATAACTGTTGTATGAACAGAAAGACCTGAAGATGGATCCGTGTGATGAGAGCAGCTTGTACTCACACAGGGGTAACAGAACCAGTTGTCTGGCCGGGCGTTGGACAGGTAGAAACAGGTCTTACACAACAGCAGCTCGTTCAACTGGAGGAGGAGGAGAAGAAGAAGAAGAAGAAGAAGAGAGAAGAGAGAGAAGGAACGAGGGAGAAAGAAAGAAGAGTTCAACAAATCTGGACTCGTCACAAACATAAAGATCAAGGCAGACGTACGCCGATGAGCTCTGAACCGTAGATAAATAAGACGGCGGTACCTCGTGACACGTGTCGCTGAAGAGCAGCCGTGCGATCTCCGCCTGGTCGCTGTGAACTGAAAGAAACGGTCGACTTTAAACTCTTAAAGTAAATGTTTAAAGACACATTAGGACTGATAACACACAGAACAGCTGGTGCAAGATATATAATATATATATAATGAGAGCCAGAGAACAAGAGAATATCTTACTCACATCATATTTAGCAGGTAATGCAGTTTACAAATAATTAATTAAATTACCAATAATCAGCTTTTCATAAAATGATGCACACAGAGTACGTTTGTCCCGTGAACTGAAACGTATAATTATATATTATCCACTCGCAGGAGCGGATTCAGTTTGAGGACTTTACTTTATACTTGTTAGAGTGAAATAAAATATATAAACCTCGAGAGAAATTGTAAAACAATGAGCTGAAGCCCAGAGGGGAACATGTGACGCTGACTCACCTCCATACAAGATGGCAGTGTTGTGAACAATCAGCTGAGCGTCCGCTTTGAACTCCTCAAAGGTTTTATACTTTCCTTCAGACAGGTTCTGAGGGAGGGAGGGAGGGAGGGAGAGAGAGAGAGAGAGAGAGAGTCAAACATACAGAAAGAGAGAAAGTTGGTCAGACAGAGGAGACAAGTACAAAGAAGTCTATTCACACACTGAGCGTGTGTGTTGTTTGTTTGTGTGGTGTTTGTGTGTTTGTTGACATGTGAGCGGTCCAGCAGAGGGCAGTAGACTTATTAACTCTAACAAACACTCTCAGGTCTGGATAAAGCTCCAGTGTGTCTGGATGAGACGCTCCACTGACCACAGCCTGACACCAGTACAGAGAGACTTTGTGACGTATTTAATGTTCACCACAAGTAGTCATCAATAAATCCACATAGAATAAAAGATGCTGCTTATGACTCCAGAACTCGCCTAAGAATCTTTACATTTCTAAGTTTTCTTCAGTGGCAAAGTAACCCAGTGATGTTCTGTACCTCCATGAGTGTTCTGATAACGCTTGTTGACTAGAGAGAGTGTGCTGGGATGTTTGAATCAAACAGGAAGAGTTAAAAGCTTAACAATCAACAAGGTCAATATTCATGATAAGAATAAATAAAGTAGAGAAAGCGTCACACAGAAAGAGATGGCGGGCGTTTTGTGGCGGTTACCTCGTGGATGTTTGAGACCTCCAGCGCGGTGTGGATCAGCCGTTTGTACATGGGATGTTTAGTGTCTTTGCCTTTCTTGTTCAGGTCCACCGCCTGCAGACGCAGAGGAGGGATAATGATTTAATACCGCGTCATAGAGAGGAGGACGAGGGAGTAATGAGGCAGGGACACATGCAGGCTAACTGATGAGATGCGATACCTTTTTATTTAACCTTCTGGTACCTAGCCCTATTTTTAGCCCTCTGCTCGAAAATTGCATAGCCATACTCAAGAGAGTCCCCAGCTCTAACTACAAGGTCTATTTTAATAATTTTGATGCTAGAATACTGGAAACACTTGTGAGATGTGTTGAATTGTGTAAATATTGTGTATATGTCACTGGTTAATAACTGATACACTTATGGCACATCTCAAATTGAAAAATTTCTAGGTTCGCCTGAAAAAAAGCACTTGTATTGAACTTTTTTTTTTTTTTTTTTAAATAATGCAGCTGCAAGCCTAAAAATACGCCACAGACAGAACAACACGTTTTACATGTCCCCACAACATATTTTACTTCGATTGAGTGAAGCAGGCCAGCATAAATGGTCATGAAAATCAAAATTTAGATTTTCGGAACCAGCTGTTGCATTGCTGTATACTAATTTTATATACTATATAACTAAATATTAACTATATATATTCACTTTTCTTATCACTAAGAGTGTTCAATAATCCTAATAAATCAGTTTGACACCATTTTGAATAATTTTGAGCAGTTATGACGTGTCATATCTGTCATTCATAACAATAAATGGCTCATAATGTGTGTCTATGTGACCCTGGTAAGGCCGATTTACTCGCGTGAGACATTTTTAGATGCGGGATAGTCCAACGGGAGCCATGCAGGGGTGTTTGATCGTATCCGGGTCTGTTTACTGACTAAAAAAAAAAAAAAAAAAAAAAAAAAAAAAAAAAAAAAAAA